AAATAGATTAGTAAATCCTTTTTTGGTGTGAGAAATTTTTCATGTGGCATGATAGGACACATCTCCCATACTTGCACTATTTACTTTAGTTCACATTAGGTGTGGAGACCCAAATCGTATGATTCACAGCATAACACACATTCATTGCATTATTCTTTTCTTAAGAAGGGACCAAAACCTATTTGGGTTCCTAAATCTGACGTAGGCTTTATATAAATAAATATCAAGTTTTAAGAATTATGTGAGAAAGATATATATGTAAATCCCATCATAATTTTATAATCATTTGTTTTTTAATATATTATTATTATTATTATTATTATTTATTTCTTATTAGAATAAAATTATAGTGAATATTCTTTATCCTTCTTTTATATCTTTGTAGTTCTGACTTTTATATGAAAATAAATTATATTATTACACCGTAAACCCAACTATAAATTAGAAGATTTCATGAATTTTTAAAAACGTTTTATGACTTTGACCACTTAAACGAGCCTTAAATATCTTCTTGTCATTTTTATTTATCCATGTAAAATATCAATTTACATGATAATAAAAACACAAAGAAATATCATGCTAGAAACATAAAGTTATATCTTATTAATCTTGCTTGAGTTAAATCCTAGTTATGACCAAACAAACCTTTAGGGTTAGATAGATAAATATGATTGAATATAATGATGTAAGTATTTTGGGTTAGGATATTTTAATAAAAAATTAATAAAGATGAATATTAAGCTAATTGAATTTGTTATATTTATATGATTGTGAAATTTTATTATATTCATTTGGCTTATTTTATTTATTTTTAAAATTTAATTAATATCAATTAATCAAATTAATTAAAATTTTAATTAATACCCAATAATTTTAATAATTCTGTGGGCTTTATTTGCGCCATTTTACAGTATCGGCCTTATAAATCCGCCAAATTTAATTGCAAATAACAAATTTTAAACGGTCCTTTAACCAGCTGAGACCCGGATCTAGGGCTTGATTCGCCATTTTTGTTTTCCCTGATTCTAGGCGAATTCCTTTTCTCTTCATTGCAGCGGCGAAGGCTGAGAAGACGGCCTTGCTCCAGCGGAGCTACGGTAGCTCGACATGTGACTCCAGTAAGAGAGAGTGACTTGATGATTCTAATGGTATTTGGAATCTTCTCCGCCTTTCCCCTAAATTTCTGAATTTGCATTGTTGATATTTACATAGCTTGAGTTCCATCTTGAAGGTAAACTCACAGAAGATTTGAAAAGAAGAAGCTTAAAATTCTCATACTTGTCTCTATCACATCTCCATCTCTATCTGGCTTTCTTTTTTCCTTGGAGGATGCTTAGCTTCTGTAGTAAACCCAATGGCAGCTGAAGTGTCTGTTTTCCTTATTTTCAAATTCACTATCTATTTCAATATCGCAACTTGCTTGTATCAGATTGTGCTTAAGAAGACTTTAGTGTGACTGCATGGATCAAGATAAGAAAGCTCCAGTGTTATAAACATCTCTACTAGCCTTATCCCAACTATTAAAGCTCCAGTGTTATAAACATCTCTACTAGCCTTATCCCAACTATTTTGAGGTTGGCTTTGTGAATCGTCAGTGATTTCAAGTTTATGTGATGACATGAATCTAACCGGCATAGGCATTGGAAGGGGGAGATGAATGGAGAATTAAGTATGCAGTTAGGATGATTTAGGAAAAATGAGCTTAAGATATGGAGCTAGGATGATGGTTAAAGTCTGGTTTTACTTGGGTATCCTGGGGTATGAGTCCAGCTATGCATGGAAAAATTCTTTTGGGAGGATTTAGATGAAGAGAAATGGGAAAATAGAGATCACTTACCTTGTTTTGAACTGGATCTGCTTTGCTTCATACTTGCTTTGCATTTGAAAACCTCTCAGAGAGGAATTCTGTAATGAAAAGGAATTAAACTTGGATGCAAAAAGCTTCCGTGAGATCCTCTTTGTAGTTTTAGGAGAGAATAACGAACCTTTGGATTTAGAGTTGCTTCTTGTCTAATTCTTAAATCAAGCAGCCTATGATAATCATCACACGCTAAGCATTAAAATAATAATAAAATAATCATAGACATCATCATCATCATCACTAATTTACAATACAATAAAATATATTCAACATAGGCGTGGTTCTCCTTCCTTGTATAAGGAAGGGAGCTGTTGACCCTTGGATTTACTCTTTGATGGTGTAACGTGATGAGGTGGCGGTCCTTGGTGATGTGGTGTCCTTGATTATTGGAGCAAATTCTTGGTCTTTTATGGTTCCTCTTTCATCTAATTTTGCATATGACTGGATTTTGTGGAATTAAAAGTAATTTAATCTATTCGTTGGGTTAATTTGAATTAGCTTAAACCTAGAGTTGAGTGGCTCAAAATTGCCAATTCACAAGGAATTGGCCTAAGGTTTCTGTTCAAATTAGACTATGCTAGATTGTTGAAGAGCTTATTGGATTATGGTTCCCTACATCAAGTCATTTGCCATTGGAAATCAAAATTGATCAACATATAAGCTTTTTTACTTTCTTCTTACTTTGGAGGGTTTATTGTTTTTGTGGCTAACGAACTATCTTCTTTAGATTGTTTTGAACCTTTGTAGTTGGTGTTGGGCATATTGGTATTTTCAATGTTGAACTTTTTGCTTGTCTATGCCAAAATTTTGAAGTGGTTACATGCCTAGGTCAACAATGTCAATATGTTGAAGCATACTTGAGTTAACCTTGCTGAGTAGTGTAAGAACTCTCCTTTTTTTGGGTTGGAGGTTGCTTGGTTGGGAGATCATGTCCTCCTTTTGAGTTAGAAGAAGCTTGAATGAGAGATGTTGTACTTGTTTGCAGGATAAGGGAACTGAATCCCTTTTAAGCATTCACTAGTCTTGTTGCTGCGCTGACTAGCAGGCTTCACATCCTTCACATTGGAATGGTGGACTGATTGATGATGAACTTTAATGCATTCTCGACAATGCATAGTTCTCATATCTTCTATAGTAGACTACAACCTTATTCACAAATTTGGACTACCCAAAACTAGATGTCGCACAGCCAATGGTACTATCATACAAACCACTTCACTTGCCAAGAATTTTCTAGTAGTGGTAATTTTAAGAGTATATTGTTTTGATACCTTTTAATTAATCAATGTCTTTTTTTGAGCCATATCAGGTGGAGGTGGATAATGAATAATTGTAGTGATGTACTCCAGGACCTGCAAAGAAAACACCAGCAAACAAGAAAACCAGAGAAGGGGGAAGAAGGCTTCAAGGCCCTGTATATTCCTCTTGAAAACGTTCAAGGAATTCTAAAACAGCAACAACTGATTTCTACTATCTAAGGTTCCTATATATATTTTCCTGTTCCTGTAGCCATAACAAACCTTTTAACTAAAAGTAGTGTAGCAGCAGAAAAGGGTAAAGTATACCAGTGAAATAAAAACGATAAATAGGTAGTGGAGGCTAAAACATTGGTATCATGCACCTCCGTAAGTTGGTAAGGTAAATGGCACTGCATCAGTCCTCCCCGGCATCAGAGGAGCTCGACTCCGACGAGCTGATTTCGATTATTGCAGGATCCGGAGGGTGATAAAGCGAGATATCAGAGACATTGAAAGTCGGAGACGTATTTTGGTCAGCTGGTAGTTCCATCGTGTATGCATTATCGTTAATTTTGTCAATAATGGGAATAGGGCCGATTTTTCTCCGACTGAGTTTGGAATAGGTACCAGGAGGAAAACGCTCCCGGCGTATTCGCACCATGACTAAATCTCCCACGTTGAACAGTTGCTGTCGGCGATGCACATCAGCTGCCGCTTTATACCTCAGGTTAGCATTGGTTAGATGGGTGTGTACATCCTCCAGCATTTTAGTGTAATGGCTAGTGAACTTGGCTGCCATCCCAGATTTGCATTTGGGCAGAACCACTACATCCAAGGCCAAATTAGGAAGCTTAGTATAAACTATGCTAAATGGAGACTTACCCGTCGATCGATTCACCATAGAATTGTAAGCAAATTCCGCCGTGCTTAACATTTCTTCCCACTGCTTTGGGTGATCTTGCACTAAACAACGTAGCATTCTTCCAAGTGTACGATTAACCACTTTAGTCTGTCCATCCGACTGAGGATGATATGCTGAGGAAAGATTCAAATCAGTCCCCAAACGCTTCCATAATTCTCGCCAGAAGTGACTGATGAATTTGACATCTCTATCTGAGGTGAGGCTCCTCGGCACTCCATGGAGGCGGACCACTTGGTGAAAGAAGAGGTGAGCGACATGGAGGGCATTTGCTGTTTTCTTGCAGGAGAGAAAATGTGCCATCTTCGAGAAACGATCGACGACTACCATGATCGAGTCATTCCCTTTGTTCGTCCGGGGAAGGCCAATGACGAAGTCTAGGCTGAGGTCCTCCCAAATAGAATCTGGCGTGGGGAGCGGAAGATACAGCCCGGTATTGTGAGTTCCCCCCTTAAAACTCTGGCAGACCGAACATCGGTCCACAAAATGGAAGACGTCTCTACGGAGATGCGGCCAATAGAAGCGGCTTTTTAATTGAGCTAAAGATTTGTCACGCCCAGCGTGGGCCGCGAGTGCGCCGCAGTGGGCTTCCTGCACTAGAAATTGTCGCCAGAAGGACACAAGAACACAACAAATTATTATGGAAAAGAAAGCCATGGCGGATGGAGTATTCAGGTACCATTTCTTGCTGTTTGCATTTATGCCAAATGGTAGAGAAATCAAGATCCGATGCATAGAGCTCCTGCAGGCAGACTAATCCCGTAAACTCTGTCTGTAGCTGTGTTAACAGCATTGTCTTTCGACTCAGCGCGTCCGCAACTTTGTTGTTCCGGCCAGACTGGTGCTTCAGCACGAACGAGAACTTCTGAAGGAAAGAGACCCAGCGAGCATGCATTCTATTGATGTGTTTTTGATTATTAATGAACTTTAATGCTTGATTATCTGTGCAAATCACGAACTCCTGATGAAGGAGGTAGTGCTCTCATTGCTTCAATGCACGAATAACTGCATATAGTTCCTGTTCGTACGCCGACCAACGTTGGCGAGACGGGCAAAGTTTTTCGCTGAAGTAAGCAATCAGACGCCCTTCCTGAGATAACACTGCACCAATGCCGGTGGCCGACGCGTCCGTTTCCACTACAAAGAGTTTACCGAAACAAGGTATGGCTAGTACTGGGGCGGATGTGAGGGCCTGCTTGATGGAGTCAAAACTTTGCTGCTGCAGATCGCCCCAAGTGAAGGTTTTAGACTTCAAACAATCTGTGATTGGACTCATGATCGAACTAAAACCTTTGATAAATTTTCTATAGAAGTTGGCTAAACCATGAAAACTTTTGATGTCAAAGAAGGAAGTCGGGGTGGGTCAACTTACAATTGCTGAGATCTTATCTGGGTGCATTGACAGTCCCTGCTCGGAGACCAAAAACCCGAGAAATTGTACCTGAGAGGCAGCAAATTCACATTTTTGAAGATTAAGGAACAATTGATTCTTTTATAAGATGATGAAAATTTCTCTCAGGTGGCCCCTATGCTGATCCAGGCTTGCACTGAACACTAGTATATCATCAAAATAGGCTATGCAAAATTGTCCCCATACAGGCTTGAGAATGTCCTGTATCATCCGTATAAATGTAGAGGGTGCGTTACACAAGCTGAAAGGCATGATTCGCCATTCAAAAAGACCAAATGGCGTCTTAAAAGCTGTCTTCCATTCGTCGCTGGGACGAATGCGGATCTGATGATACCCGCTTCGTAGATCCAACTTTGAAAATATAGATGCAGCACTTAGCTTATCAAGTAATTCTTCTATCCTCGGCACAGGAAATCGGTATTTTACCGTGATCTTATTAATAGCTCGGCTGTCGATGCAGAGACGCCACTCTTTGTTCTTCTTCGGTACCAATAGAGCGGGAACACCACAGGGGCTGATACTAGTTTGAATTAGCTGCTTACGTAATAGATCCTCGACAATGGACTGCATAGCTTCTTGCTCCGCGGGATGAAGCCTGTAATGAGGTAGGTTTGGAAGAGAAGCATTCGGTATGAGGTCAATTTGGTGCTGAATGGTTCTTAGAGGCGGCAATGTAGCAGGGAGGTCTTCAGGACAAATTTCTCTGAACTCTGAGAGCAGCTGATGAATCTCCTCCGGAATTGAAATTGGCAAGGATCCTCCCGAATCAGTGATCACCAAAGACCACATAGGGTCTTCACTAGCCCACGCAAGGAGCAAACTAGGACCGGAAACAATTTGCATCACAGAGGAAGTGGCAGCACTAGTTGTTTGTGTCTTGTCGTCGCGGAGCTTTGGTAAGAGTCGAAGCCGCTTGCCTTTCCATTCTAAGGTATATACATTAGCCCTCCCATCATATACAACTCCGGCATCGAATTGCCACGGACAACCCAAAATTAAATGGCACATGTCCATGTCTAAAACATCACACAACACATCACAAATATACTGGCGACCAATGGAGAAGGTTACCTGGCACATGTCGGACACCTGAATGTCGACACCCCTTTTTACCCAGCTGATTTTGTATGGCTGTGGATTCCTCATGGTCTTCAACTGGAGAGCTTGTACTACGGAGCAGGCTATGATATTTTCGGTACATCCACTGTCGATCAAAAGATCGCAAACTTTGCCGCTTATAGTACACTTCATCTTGAAGATGGCATTTCTTTGGGAAGCAATGCTCTGACGAGGAGCAATTAATAACTTCTGAATGACACATATCAACGGATCACCCTCATCTCCCTCAACATCCTCGATATTGTCTGCATTATCATCCTCGAGCTGCTCGAGTGTCTCCCCCTGTTCATTTTCTATCAACTGGAGTTGTTGCCGTTGCGGACACTCGTTTGACTTGTGCCCCGGCTGGAAGCAACGGAAGCACTTCAACGTCGACGGCTTGGCATAAGGATTGCTCGGGGATGGTGCCTTGGTTTTAGCTGGGGGTTTGTTCTCCGGGGTAGCGCTCGAAGGTTTAGATGGATTCTGGGATTGCCAATGGGACGGAGAGTTGGTAGTAGTTTTGCCTTGATTGGTGGTCTGCTTTCCCTGGTCAGGTGACAATTCCGACATTTGACGGCGAGAGTAGGAAGTGCGGGATGAACGGCTCATCTGCATTTCTGCCTTCAAGGCAAAATTGATTGCCTGAGGTAAAGACCAAACAAAGTTCAATTCTAGTTTGTCTTGAATTCCATATTTCAATCCTCCATTGTAACGAGCCACCAACTGATTAGTGGACTCGTTCAAATTGTTGCACGCGCAGAGTCGATGAAATTCCTCCGTGTATTCGCTGACCGACCTGTTGCCTTGCACGCATTGCTGATACTGCATATAGAGAATTTGTTCGTAGTCCGTTGGGAGGAACTGAGAACGGAGCAACTGTTTCATCCTGGCCCAAGTTCGAACAGGCCCTTTTGCTTCACGTTGTCGCGTTTGGAGTACCTGTGTCCACCACGCACTAGCGCCGCTTCTCAAGCGGCAAGCGACATATTTCACTTGCTTAGATGGATCAATCTCCATATAGTCAAAAAAATTCTCAACGGCCTTCTCCCAATCCAAATAGTCCTCTATGTGAACATGGCCATCAAAGAAAGGTATATCTACACGGACCTTGAACTCAGCTTGATTTCTCGAATTATACTGTCGCCGCCTACGTCTGAGATGACCTTGGCAATAGTCGCCTCCATCTGCCGTGTCTTCGGAATCACTCAAGTCCTCTTCAGGATGTCTTCGAAAGTCATCTTCCGAATCGGAAGCTTCCAATGGTTGTTGCTGGAATCGACGCCCTTGTCGATCAAGGCCCATTCCCTGCCGGACAACAGGAGCCACCGCCTGTGCCTGATGTTGGCGAGGTTGATGGGGTGTATTCCTCTCTCGACGGAGATTAAACTCGCGGCGCATCTCGATCGAAAGTCGTTGTACATCGGCGGACAATGTCTCCAATTGCCGCACAATGCTAGCCTGGTTGCCCACAGTGTTTCCACACTTCGTCCCTTCTCGGAGGCTGGCTCCTTCCCCTTGTCCGTCATGTTGCTGTGCTAGCTCTGATACCAACCTGATGTACTCCAGGACCTGCAAAGAAAACACCAGCAAACAAGAAAACCAGAGAAGGGGGAAGAAGGCTTCAAGTCCCTGTATATTCCTCTTGGAAACGTTCAAGGAATTCTAAAACAACAACAACTGATTTCTACTATCTAAGGTTCCTATATATATTTTCCTGTTCCTGTAGCCATAACAAACCTTTTAACTAAAAGTAGTGTAGCAGCAGAAAAGGGTAAAGTATACCAGTGAAACAAAAACGGCAAATAGGTAGTGGAGGCTAAAACATTGGTATCATGCACCTCCATAAGTTGGTAAGATAAATGGCACTGCATCATAGGGACTTTCTACAACAAAAATCTAAAAATTTCTCTTAAAAACCAATTAAATTTAAAAAAAAAAAGACGGTTCTTTATTTGGCACAATTAGAGTCGTTGAGCTTTTTTCAAAAAAAATACAATAGGTTATGATTTTCTTCCTTATTCATGCGGGCTAGGCTCATGTTAGTCCATACTTTTTCATAGCTACAAAGTTCTACCCATGAGGAGCTTTTGTACAAGGAGTAGGAGCACTCTTTGAAAGTGTCGTGGCACAATCAAAAGGAGAGTGAATAAATTATTTGAATAACCTTAATTAATCAATAATACAACATGCTGTGGAAAGTGATTTTGAAAAAAAAAAAAAGTTTAGATGGAAAATGCAAAATAAATATTTTTTTATTTTTTATTTTTGATAGTAATAAAATTTCTTAAGATTAATTTGAAAGTAATTGAAAACAAATATATTTATTAATAAAAATTTTATGAAGGATTTATTTTGAAAATATTTCTTGAATGCAATTACAATAGTATAAAATAATAAATCTTAGCTAATAAACTTTGCAAGAAATAAAGTATAGAAAAAAAAAAAAACAAAAATGCAAATCAAGATTTTATAGTGGTTTGGTCAACTTAACCTACATTCACTCCCCAAAAGTCCTCCTCTTTGGGAAAACCACTAGTAAACGCACCTGCTCTCAATAAGGAAGCAAATCACTTATCTATTCTTTGGTGAAGAATGACCTTCACAAGCTCTTCCTCCTAAAAAGCCTAAACTCCCTCCTCTCATTTTTTGCAATTGTAGAGATACCATTCCCTCTTTCTATTCCTCACATGACGGAGATGTTGCTCCCTCCTTCTACTCCTCACATTAGCAGATATCTTGCTCCCTCATTCTACTCCTCATAATGGCCGAGATGTAGCACCCCTAACCTCCTCGGCTAGTCACAAGTATTTCGCCTAAAGACTTCTTCCATAGATCTCACTAGTAAAAAGTTATCTTTTTAGCATCAGTTAGTAGCAGCGGTAATAGAACCGCTGCTAAAAACTTATTATTGCACCGGTTAAAACCGGTGCCGTAGCACCATATTTTGCAGCGGTTAAAACCGGTGCCTTTCTGGTAGTGTCTCCTGCAATAATAACCTAGAGGACCATGGTGCAAGTTGATAAGAACGGTCGTGAGAATACCCTCATATAGCCCTTGACTCCTTAAGGAAAAACCTCTCAAGCTCATATTTTCTCTCCCAAGTGGATTGGACAACTCTCTCTAGCAAGGAGAAACTTCTCTCCCTCTCCAAAGGACTCTCTTTCAAGAAAAAATAGTTTTGGTTACTCACTAACCTCTCACACAATTGTTATGAAAAGAATCAAGTTGAGCAATTTAAGAGAAATCCTAATTTTTAAAATTTTAACACACTAATCATGTAGTACGAACTGTTGATTATACTATATGATTTGTATAATACCTAATTTTTATTTCTATTAGATTAGACATACGATTTGAATCATACAGTATGATCAATTGAATAAGATCAATGATCATCCTAGATGAACCATTGTTCATCTACAAAATATTTTGTTAGATCATACTAGATGATTTGGGTCATACTATACAAATGCCAATCATACCTTCATAATGGCCCAAGTTAGGAGACATTCATTAATAATTGTACAGTATGGTTGGGTAAAATTTTTAAATTCAAATTTATCTAGATTTGGATATTTAAAAAATTGGATTCAAGTGTTAGCATTTATCAAAATGACTGATCATCCTACATGATAAAAGATTGTATAGTATAATTTAGTTTTGGATTTCAATTTGATTAATTTAACTAAACACATAATTTATTTTCTAAATTACCCGATTGTACAATATGATTTGAATTATACAATACAATTTAATAGATAAATAATCAAGTGTTCATTTTTTATCCCCGCTTTTGAGTGTGAGCTATGTTGTCATGCAAACATACACTTAAATACATAAAGATTATAATAGTCTTATGGCTTCCTCTTCTAACCCATAGCTCACCGACTTGTTCACCCCATAAATGAAACCATTAAAAAGCTATATAATGTTAGGTTTGTATACTTGCGTGAGTTGTCAAACATCAAAAAATCAATCCCTTTGGTGAGGTGCACCAAACCCTCCATAGATTTCTTCTGTGAAAACCTTGATCAATTTGTCATCAAAATCTATTCAAACCTTGACATAGTAGTTATCCAAATTTCTTAATGGCTAATAGGGTTGGCTTAGGGCTAGGATTGATTGCTGGAGGCTTAAGGAATGTGAAGGCAGGTTTCCTTAGCTTTTGGAATGACTGTATGCTTACATATCCATGGAATAATTCTCATATATGACTTCTTTATGATTTCATCACTTATTTTGTTACAACTTAGCCTGATCAAAGTGATATAATGGATGGGAAGTTTTTATGGAACAAGCATCAATTAGTGCAATAATTATATATAGAAAACATTTATTGGCTACAATAATCTTTATCCATTTTAACCCCTCTTTAAGCCATGATTAGTTTTTTATTAAATCCATTTAACTAAGTAAATCTTTTTGGGAAGCTTACATACCTATTAGCTATTATATGCAAGATTAATTCTATTGGTTTTAATTTTCTGGATAGAGTTATGTGGGGTTAACCATAACTATGTTTTACTTGGTAAATTGACTAACTTACCTAAATAGACCTTTCTAGGTGGGTAAATTGATTAAACCACTTTAGATTTTTATTTCCAACATACTTAGCTAGCTTTACTTTTAAGGATTTGGGCTAGTTTTTCCAAATGGCTCGGCCAAAAAGGGGTTGAGACCCTTCTTGGGATTTGGGTTAATTTGATTTAAGAATCATACATTGGTGGTCTAAAGTTTATTATTTAGGAGCTTAGGGAAATATTAACCCTTTTGATAAAAAATTTACCCAATTAGTTTGAGACCCTTCATTTATCATATTCTTGGACGTTGAGCGTAGCGTAGGTCTCATGCCAATTGGCCTGGTCGAGCGTTGGACTGAATATGCTAGCTAGCTAGGACGATTTCACCATGAACAGACTATATATGTTCACCATACGTTTGGCAAGTTGTCTATCTTCATTTGTCATATGCTTATCTTAAAAAATTTAATATAATTTGTTGTCTAATTATAACTATCTTCATTTGGCATTTAAAATTAAACTTCTAATTTAATATATAAAAAAATAATTTATCTAAATAAATATACACAGAGAGAGAGAGAGATTTAGGTCAATTAAGATGACTCGCACACACATCACATAAGCAATAATCGAATTCAAGATCTGTTAGTTGATAGCGAAAGGTCCCAATAAAATGACCAAAATGAGCTGCATGCATACCTCGTTAGGTTATACATTCTTTCTTCTTTGCTTTTGTAGATAAATAATTAGATGTCACTCTCTCTAGTCAAAACCAGACAACACAATCGTCAATGATATATAGTTCCATACGCATTAAATTCAGAGGGTGAAGGCTACCGTGCTCTTACTTGGCTCCTGCTACCTGAATAATTGATCTACTTTATCTTAATATAATAATGAGCTCAATAATTATAAAACTTGGTAATTAATTTTTTCTGAATAATTATGTTAAAATAATAGGAAGAAATGGGACCACTTAAAACTTGGAAAACGATCCCAAAAATTTTAACGGACGAGGTCAAGGACTTTTGTGCGCAGATAACACTAGCTCCATTTAGCGATAATTATATTCAATTCAATTTATTGAATATTTATTTATTTAACAACTGTATTAATTATTAATACTTATAAGCCATGCAAATTAACGTTACCTTGCAAATATATATATATATATATATATATATATATATATATATATATTAACTTTTTCGTTTTAGTGGGCAGGTTTTATTTTAATAGTAAATTTATCTTAGGAAGATAATTTCAGAGAGAAGATTTTAATGTTTTGGTGTCATGAGCTAATTAACTAGTTATAGCTGGCATTTTATTGTCGGAGCTTAAGAATGCATTGATGACTAAAAGAGCCAAATTAGGAATCATGATGAAATTTTTTTCTATTATGACCTTGTCAACAATCTGGGCTGTTAGGGGTCATCCATTATGCATGACATGCACATCATTGGTTTTTCGATCGTAAGGCTTGAGCTGGCCTCAGAAAAGGGTTACAAATAGTGAGATTATATATTTTGAATTTATCATCCACCATTATAATAGCAAGTTGAGTTGTTATTAGTTGGCCGATTGACAGAAGAGGGCTCAAGGAGGACTAGACATTGAAATATATGCTTCAAGTTAGCTTGAATTGGATTTAATGAGATAAAATGAGCTTGGGAGACCCACCTAGGATTTATGTTTAGAGGTTTGACGTACTTTAATTTGTCTAACCCAAATGAGTTGTATCACCTAAGTGAACTAGGTTAGGATCTTAAAAAGTAACATGCAAAGTTTGGAAATGTCTTGACTGAATTAATGAGCTTTTGTTCAAGTGAACCCAAAGTTGGTCACTTAACCCATTTTTCAAAACATAGTTTGATTATTATCAAGAGGTTTAACTATAGGTTAAGCATTTAGTTTAAGAGTTATTAAAATATGTTAAAACTATTTATAAGTAATGCCAATGTCAATAGGTTTTGATTGGTTATTGGATTTGGATTTAAGTATTTATGGTTAAGGGATGTATTTGGTCAAACCTAGTACTTTGACCAATAGTCAAATAGGTTAATTAGGGATCCTTGTCCAACGGGTTGGGTCAAGTGCAAACCTTGGGCTCTTAAGGTAGATTTTTAGTTCATAGACCACCTAGTTTTAGAGTCATATGACTTAGGTTAAATTAGTTATTTTAGAATTTTAGGACTTTTATATTTGACCTATGGTTGACTAATGGGTTCCTCTACCTATCTCAAGTAAATAGGGGGTGCAATAAGTTTGTTAAGTATCTTTAGTCAAGTATAGGGTTAACTAGGCCATTTATTCTTAATCAAACTAATCTTCTCAATGGCATAGTCAATAAATTCATAACCCATCAATGTCCTCTCACATACCTCAAACTTGGACAAATGTGTCATACATCTCCTACCATATAATGCCTCATATAATGACATACCAATACATTAATGAAAATTATTATTATAAGCAAGCTTACTCAAAGGGATATGGTGCTTGCAACTCACTCTATAATTAAGTGCACATAATCTTAATAAAACCTTAAGTACCTTTATGATGCTTTTAGACTAGCCATCAGTTTGTGGGTGAAAATATGTATACAAATTTAACTTAGTTCTCATACCTTTTTGAATGCCTCTCCATAACCTAGAAGTGAATCTACCATCCCTATAGGAAAATCACGTATTACCGGCAGAAAATCATCATTTTCCAGTGGATTTAATGGTTTTCCGGTGGATTTCCAGTGAAAATGTTTTCACCGATAAAATGAGAAAAAAATCGCCTGAAAATGTTTAACTTAGTTCTCATAATTTGGCCTCCTAAAAAATTGTCCGACGGCTGTCCCGTGGAAAACTTCCCCTGAAATAAAAGATAAAAAAAATGTAGGCCCAAACCCGCCTCTTGCCACCCGCTCCAGCCAGCTGGATTCCGAACCCACTACCACCAACCCAAACCCGCGCCTCCCGCCAGCCAGCGAGCCTCCTAGCCTTAACCCGTGGCTCCCGCCAGATTAATTAAAATAAATTATTAAATTAATAATTAATTAAAATGAGCTATAAAATTATTAATTATTTAAATCACAAAAATGAATTTTTTTAGAAATTATCAAAATGTGCCGAAAAATCCGTCGGAAAGCCTGCCGGTAACAAATCCGTTGGAAATCCATTGGAAAGTCTGTCGGAAAATCTGCAAAAAAATATCGAAAATATTTAAATCCACCGGAGAATCTGTCAGAAATCAGTCCGTCGGAAAGCCGTTAGAAATTCCACTGGTAATAAGCTATTTTCCTGTAGTGTATCATGATTGAAAATAATAGCATTTAATATATGATGTAGCTAACATTCTCATCCACATGCAACTCTACAAATCTCTAGATTGAATCAACCTACCTTATACAAATAAATGTTTCAAATTTATCAATCAATAATCCACAACACATAATAAATTATGACCATTTCTAAATGTTAACAATCATATAAAAAAATCCTTCATAACCTCCTCTTATTTTCACTCAAGAAAAAACAAATGTTGTAGTAAACCATTAGTTTTCTAATACATTGATTTCAACATCTAATAAGTCTCGTATCTTTAAGCAAAATCTAAAAAAGCATACTTTAAGTTGGGTCTCCAAAACAGAAAATTTTGATCATTATCTATATTAGTACTCTCTAGGTTAGTTGTGTATCATGATTAATGAGCATCATGTATTATCCTCTCATCCTACCACCACTAGAAGGAAGCTAAATTTGACCCCACAAGTCAATATGCTATGATCATCCACATGTATCTTTGATCTCCTTCTAGACTAAATCATGTCAAGTAATCTTACATGCTCATCATTTAATCTCTAGGCCTCCTTAATCCTCTCCTTAAAAGAAAGTTGAATAATAATCTACTAATGAACTCTTATCTATGTTAAATAGACACAAAATAGTAAAGTGTAAATTCTATATAGTTTTTTACTTTTAAATTTAGTGAATTGGATGATGTTGTACATGAAATATTCGAGAAATGAGGAAAAAAAATTATAACTGTTGAAGCAGTACCTCAATGCTCCAAATACTTGCATCGCATCATCTACAATACCTTGGTGTTAGATAAAGGAACCTACTACAAAACTTAATATATGCAAAAAAATAACTTGTATGCTAGAATAACATTATATAAAAAAATAAAGCATGCTTAATATAAATTAACATGATATTTATCTCAAGTGTTGTAACTATAAAATTAAAGTCAATACAAAACTATTGTCAATAGTAGGTACATATAAAAAATTATAATATAATCATTTATTTAAACATGTTTTCAAAATAAAATTGCATGATAGAAAATAATATTTAGCATTTCATTTTAGAGCATTCCATACTTTTCACTATACCTATTATAAGCAAACTAATTCATAACAAGTTTTACAGTAGGTTCCCTTATACCTATATTTGTTTATATTTCCCTTTGCCCTTTATGTCTCCACTTCCCCTTATGCCTCAACTTTTTTAAATCACATATGTTCAAGTTTATCATTCACATAAATGTGTAATCATGTATTTTCATTGGGTCTTATACCTCTACTTGAATGTACATAAAGTATAAAAAATAAGTCACCAGAATTTTTTCATTTTTCTCCCTTTCCACATATTTTTAGTACATAAGCACAAAAATATCTACACTTTCAACAATTATGAATAGTATCCCAACATATTATAGAAATATGTAAAACATTGCATGTATGAATAATTTTTTATGGTCTATAGGGGCAAATTTGCATATATGAGTAAACAATCACAATTTATCAAATCATTCATATAAAATATGATCATGCATATATGCTAATATAATTAAAATATTTTATGCTTTAACATACTAAAAGTTACATTGTATAAAAATTAAAATCTTTTTAGACCTGAATTTGAATAAAATATGATCAAATAAATACCAAAATTTGTGCATGTGTGAAAAACGTTGAAATATAAAGTAAGGTAGTGGTAGCCTACATCCATCTAAAATATTTCCTTAACTGGTCCGACAAATGAAATTGGCTCTAATACCTCTGAATCATGATTTTCTCCCTCCTTTCAATTCTTCTTTTTTCACCTCTAAAACAACTCATGGTCAAATAAAAAAGCCAAATTCCTAGATTTTAAAATTTGAAGATTAAACAAATTAAATGAATAAAGAAAAGGGTATAAAACAATTATGAAACTAATTCAATTCTATTTATAAAATATAGGTAAATCCCTCATGAAAAAATATGGAGGTCCAATAATGATGAGATAATAGTCAATAAATACTGCAACATGCTTAGAACACTTTATTGAAAATATTTTGCAAAATAGGCACCAAATAGTTCTAGAAACTCTAGTATTATGAAAATGTGATTTTTCCTTAAGCAAGAGAAATCCAATAAGAAACCTCTTGTTTTCATATCTACAATGTTTATAAAAAAAGTTAAAATTATTTTAAATAAACTATTAAGTGCTCTATAAGCATGTCATATAAATTAAGCATTGAAAGATTTTAAAAAATGTCAAAAAAAAATGTAGATGTTATAAAAAAAATGTAGTGATTCTTATCAAATTTAAATTAGGTTATTATATGTAGTCTAATATCATAGAAACAAGCATTATAAGGAAGGATATGAAATATAGATAACTATAGGTAGCATTAAGAAAATATAAATTTCTTAAAGTGTGTTAAGAAATTTCATTTAATCTAGTTAACTACATATAGCATTAAGAAATCTAATTTAATTTCATAATAACACTAGGGAATATTCTGTATATTCCCTCTTTTTTTGGTTGTGGATCAAATAATTTGATCATTAACTCATGATAAATTCTCTGATTTTTCTCTATAAATTGCATGATTTCAATTTTGTTAAATTCAGTATGTTAAGTGTTTTAATCTTAGTTAAAAATCTCAGCTTATTGTGGCATAGTCTAATTCATACTCTATAGCACCTAAGGCCATAAATGGGTTAGAAATCATACTTTCATGAGTCATAAGACTCAATGAAATATATCTCACACCACACAATATAGTTTGGAAATACCCTCATCTAAATTTTTTTAAGGTGATTAAAGTAGCACCTTGGGCCAACCCTTGAATCCAAGCTTAAGCTTACTACCATTATACTTATGAAAATATTTAAGAGAAAGAAAAAGGAATTTAATAATTTGCTTAGGATGTTAATTACGAGGATGAGAGAATCCAATCCATAAGTTTTCCCTAACTAATTCTTTTCATAACCCATTGGTCAATCTCCTCCATGTTTATACATAAATGATTATTTGGTTTAGCTACCATCATTCCTTACAATGCCAAATGGATGGTTGGGAAGAGACCACAGGTAGGAATAAAATATTAGTAGAGCCTTGGTGTTTTAAGAAATCTAAGCCCATGCTAATAATATTCATCCTCTCTTACCATGGTTTTGACCATGGTTAGCCATAGGTTGCATGGCTTTAGAAGAGGTAATTCCAACTTAGCGAGCTGTTATCCTCTTCATATATTTAAATGGGTTTTTTTTTTCCATTTAGTTAGGAGTTAGCAAGGGTCCAAATTAGATTAATTCCATTTAGGTCCTACATGGTTTGATTGATGTGTTTGATGAAATTGACCAACTTGAATGTGTCAAATTGATTGAACAAAGATAAGTTTTACTTTCTAACATACTTGTTAAAATTCACTCTCAATTTTATAGTTGATTTTTCCATATGGTTAGGTTAAACTACTTAGGACTGTTTATATCTCTATTTGATTCCTAAGAAACAAATTGGGTTAATTTAGCTATTTAACTTCTTTAAAGTGGTCAAACTTGGTCTCATCCAACTATAAAGCTCTCCTTTATATTCTCATATGTAGTCAGTAGAAAGGTTTTTTGTTGGTTTGTCCAAATTATTAGAGAAGAAAATATTGAAAAGATCAAGTACCTTTTATTGACAACTAACTCTTTTAATTGAGTTTATTCAACCATTAGTTCAATTGTATTAAATAGATTTGGGTTATGTTTAAAATATCCTCAAGAGCCTCCATGTCCACAATTTTAATTTAACATGGTGTTTAAGAAGATTTTGATCTATTTGACCTATTTACACCCATATGTGTTAACTTCCATTAAATGAGAACATTCATCTTATCAATGGGTCCAATTAAATTCAAAAGAGCTATTAATAGACAATGAATATATTTTTAATAGTCTATGATCCACAAGATAGAACTTTAAATAATCTTAAATTTATTTGGGTCAAGGCAAATGAGTTTAACTTGGATTCCCATGGTCAAAGTAGTTTATCCTGATAAAGTCAAAGGGTCATAAATGCTCAATTATATTCAAAATACTTAAGACACTCTAAAAACTTTTAATCTAACTAATGGTCCAAATATATTGCATCATTCTCTATAATGTATTAACTTTATCGATAATGACCATAAAATTTGAATAAATTCACATAAATAAATGCATGATTGAATGAGAAAATGATACATAATATAATTTGTAATTATATCACTTGTGTATATAGAGGTTGAGTATAAAAAAATTAACTTTAAAAGGCAGGCTCATTGATTGAAAGTTCCTGTTATGGTTGCATCTAGTTTAGGGAATCCTATCAATCTATGATTTCTTTCAATTCAATCCATTTTAATGTTGAGATTATAATATAACCTATGTTGAATTAAGGAAAGATCCTACAAAATGATTTAGGATTATGAGGGTAGACTTTTTGTAGGAATAATGCTTAATACCATAGCAATTAGCTAGGAATGTAAGCAAAAGAGTGATCCATTTAATTTTTTAAGGATGAACATGACTTAGAGTAATGCTAACACTTTTTGTGCTAGTATTAAATGAAACCATAAAATATCCCATTTGATGGATTTTTGTATTTCCATGTATCATAAACCACTCTTTCAACTTTTAAGTTCCTTAAAAATTTCAAAATCAAGTGATATTGAGCTTATTCAATTGTTTTTATTGTGAAACTCATTTTGGTTATAGGCATGTAACATTTGATGATTGTTCGTTCATTGATAATATTTTAAAGTTTTTTATTACAAATTAAGAGATCAATTTGGACTCTTTTAAATTCAAATTAGATGATTTTAGTTGTTGTTTGGCTCATCTCATCAAAATATTTATTCAAGTATAAGTTTGCTAAAATAAGACACATTTGGTCCATGATTTAATTTTTCATTGAGATTCATTATTGATTATGTAGATTTTCTATTTAAATAATATTTTTGTTCTATTATAAATCTTCATAATCTATAGTGTCTAAAATATAATTGAATCATTAAACATCCTAATTTAGAATTATAATTACAAAAAAAAAAGAGGACACATCGCTCCCTAGAGTGGGCTTGTCAAAATTTTAGTCTAAAATATTATAAAAATTATTACATGGATAAAAAAATGCTCGAATAGGCCTATTCATGCTCAGAGTGGGCTTGGCCAATAAGTTGGTCAGTGGGTTAGCTAATTGTCACTACTATGATGGCATAGTACTACAAGCTACAGTCATCTTTTAACCACATTAATAGAAGGTAATATATCTTTTTATATAAGAAACATATTTTATTTAATTTAATTTTTTTCTTTTAATAAAAAATAAAAAGGTTTATATATTCGTGGATTGACAAAAATTATTAAAAAATATTAGAAAAATTTAAAGAAAAAGTTAAACTATTTAATATATTAGTAACACCTCTTCGGCCCTTTAAGAAAACCTCCTCCCAAACCTCAACTCACCTTCTAAGGTTAAACACTCCTTTCGTGACCCCCAGTTAGCAACTTACCTTAAAGTCCCTCCCATATGCCCACTCATAACAAATTTTGGTCCATATAGTCTAATGACCCCTAGCTTGTCTTAGCCACAAGTGAGTCTCTTCTTAACAATCATATCCAATAAAACTAAAATAAGGAGTCTCAAAACATATCATCTTTGCCTATCATGTCCAAAGCTGCTAAGAAGTTAACCACCTTAAACATAAAATCCCAATGACCCTACCTTGCATTCCTTCCTTGAATGTTAGATGTTTTAATAGCCTTGAGAAAGTCCTTAGTGGCAAAGATATTGTCCATATGCATGAATTAGATATGATATATGTCCTAGAAGAAAAACTTCATGCTCATATACTAATGATCCATGGTTTTCTTCTTCCAATATAATTTTTAAAATAAAGTATGTTATAATAACTTTGATCAATATGTTCCAAGATGTATCTGGATAAATGGAATGCTAATAATGTCACCTTTCACCCCTCTTTAACATTTAATCAGTTGATACATGGTACCCTCTTCTCTGGGTTAAGCCTCTCTTACTAAACGTCATTACTCTATGCATCTAATTCTTTTCTAAAAGTTAGCTTCTTTGGCAACTTCTTTTAATTATTACAGATGATATCGCGTTCCTTTAGCCATTATTTGATATTTTAATTATTGTAGGTACAGTCATGAAAATCTAGTAGTAACTTTATACACAATAGCAAATTATAGGATTTTAATATTCTCATCTACAATATTGGAGTTCATTATCTCACTTCCTATGGCTGTTTCTTCATTTGGTATAACCAGAGTAACGATAATCCTATCCATATCAAGTTGGACTAAGTTTTAGTTAATGATCTATGGCTGGATTCTTTTCCTACCACTTTCTATAAAATTTACAACCCTAGTTAATCAAATAGCTTTCACCTTGTGCTCCTCAGTAACACTCCCATAATAATAAATATATTTTTCTTTTTAAGAATTATTGAACTAAGTAGGCTATCTTCTTGGAAGCCCTTATATTTATTTTTAACTTAACTTCAATCGTAGCCCAATTTCTACTTTATATTTTAAGCTTTATTCTCTTAAAATCCGTACAAATTTTCTAAGTTGGATCTCATGCAACTACATTTTTATTGTATTGGAAGATTTAAAGCCAACCGATACACTTTCCTTCAACACTTTCAAAGTAATCATCTTGATCTCATGAGTGAGAAAAATATCTTTTTCACAAATTTGACATCTCCATGGACTACGAGGTTATCTTGCTCAAAATGGTTTTCCTTGTGCCTTAATTTCATAGATTAAAGGTGGCATACATGATGTCTATTTCTTTGTCTGCAATAATATAGCCCTTGAGGGCTTCTTCAACTCCTCCTGTGGCCTAAGGCAAGGCTGTCCCCATTCCCATTGCTTATTTAATATTATCATGGATGCTTTATCTAATCTATTTGATGTTGATGTCTCTAATAAAAATTTAAGAGTATTACCGATGGGGATATCCACCTCTCCCATCTAGTTTATGCTGACAACCTACTTGTGTTTAGAAATTCCAACCCTCATAATGAATAGCTTTTGAATTCATCCTTAATCATTTTTGCACTTGAACTTATTACGAATCTGGTTTCAGGACTTATAATTTTGATGACAGCAAACATTTTGGCCACTTCTATTTTTCTATGACTACCTTGCCTACTAATATTTCAGGTTCATAAGGTCAAATTATAAGTCGAACCAGCTTAATATTGGGTAGATTAGGATTGAGTCAGCCTGTAATATAAGTCAAGTATCTTTTACCTTTTCTTGAGTCCATTGTAACAATGTGGGTCCAGATGCTAAGTAATCTTGCACACACACACACTTGGAATTTTTTTTTTTTACTATTTTAGAGTTTTCTTTTTTCGATCACATCGTTCGAGACGATCCCAAATCATCTTGGACGATAAGTTTAAAACTTAAACCCTAATTAGGGCATCCTAGTTAAGGCGACCACAATTAAGCACATTGTCTTGGATGATAGGTTTATCATTCCGGATGATAGGCTCAAATCAGAAAGAATCGGTTATCAGAACCTTTTAGGCATGTTTTATTTTTAGACATCGTCCAGGACATCATCCTGGACAATGTAGTGCAATTATGCCTAAATTAGTCTTGTAATTAATAAAAGCATTTAAAGTTTGATTTCTCTATCATATTGCACTGGATGATCAGTTAAACAAACCTTAGTTCTTCCTAGATGATCCGTACTCAATCTGGCTCCATCCAAGGCGATATTATAGACGATATGTGATGTTTTGTACTAATCATCCCAGATGATAGAGAGATCGGCCAGGATGATCAAGTTATTTTTCATCATCTAGACATCCATCCAAGGTGATGTTTTGGGTGATATGTGACATTTTGTACTAATTGGCCTGGATGATCGTGAGATTGTCCTAGACGATCCAGTTATTTTTTCATCATCCATACATTTATCCATGGGTAATGGTCTAGACGATATTCGAGGAATTAAACTAATCGTATAGGATAATCTAAAAAAAGGAACCTTCTAATCGTCCAAACTCTACCAAATCATCCTGGCTTATTGAGCTAAATTTGAACTAATTATACATGACGATCGGTCGATCATCCTAGATGATCTTTGATGATCAGTTGCAAATTAAGGCAAATTGGAAGCCCTTCTTTATAAGATATCTTATTTTTATAGATGAGATCTTTTACTACTGTCCTGACCTGATAGAGCCAAGAGGAGAGGGAGAGCAAGGGAGAGAGAAAGAGAGAGGATCTTGTGAGGGAGAGTTTATGAGGGATTTCACAAATGTTACTTCAAGCTAGGATCCGAGTCGTCTTCACTGGTCGTCGTCCCTAGTTCCTTGGAGGTTTGAGAGAGGCCTTCTTTAGCAACTGTAGAGAGAGTTGCTATTTGCATGTTTTACATTCTTACAACTTGTATTATTTTGATGATTTCAAATATTATTATTTTTATATATCTCCTAACACTTTTTGAAAGTTTTATTTTTGCTCTAGTGTGTACTAACATTTCAGGAAATTCAACTCCAACCGATGAAGACTTCAAACTATCATTTGTAAATCATAAGTTTTTAAATGAAAGGAAGTAATTGTAATTGAGTGAAAAATCATAACACACACTCTTAGGGGACAATTTTTTTGAACTGATCATACGGGACGAACCTAGTTCAATTCGTAAGGGACGATCATGTCAATTAACCCCTCAGAAGAGTAATGGATTGAACATGCGAGGAGAAAATTTTCTAAGTCCTAATCGTCCAGGATGAATTTAATATTCGTCCCGGGACGAACTTCTCGGGATTCTCACTTGCACTGTTCGTTCAGACGAAAAATAAGCACTACGGGAAAACACGCGATTACAGTCAAAATTTCCGGTGGATATTGTTGCGCCGGTAAGCACGGCGCAGGTAACGGCGCATTATTATGCCGAAAACCCTACGGCGGTTTTTCCGGCGACAACGACACTGAAAATGTTCCGACGATATTTACGCCGGTAAATGTGTCTGAACAAGCCAATAGCTCACTATTTTCGTCGCACTTTAAGGCGGAAAATCACCGGTGCCATTACCAGCGGATATTGCGCCGGGGTATTTAAACTCAACGAAACTAAACCGGCGCATGTTGCGCAGGAATAATCTCCGGCGTTGGATCCACCGGCGAAAGCCCTATTTTCTGAAACCGAGCTTCTCTGGCCTGTCACTTCTTTCCTTCCGTTCTCTTACCTCGCCCGTAGATCTCCGTCGTCCTCTGTTGCTCGCCCGTAGATCGCCATCGCTCGCCCGTAGATCGCCGTCACCGACGGTCAGAGGAGTTTGCCGACGAGTCTCATAGCTTTTGTGGTCGATTCACCGCCGACGGTCGTTCATCTTCGTCGACAGAAGGTTTGTTTTTTTGTTTCTTTTGACGAAAATTTTTTCCTATTTCAGTTGGATTACATAGATTTGGTTTAAGAACATATCTTTTTTGCTTTAGCCATGAATTTCTTTTTTGCTTTAGCCATGGTTGTTCTAACCATACATTTGCAAGAGGATTGTATGCTTTTTGCTTTAGCCATGGATGTTCTTACCATACATTTCCAAGATAGGTTGTCTTGATATCTCCAAGTGTTAATTTAGGTAGTGGGAAGGTAGTACTAACCTTTGGAATGCTTAATCATATTGAGAATAAGTGTACGTCTATTATGGAAGCTATACATTTTTTTAGAATAAGTGTCTATTATGGACACTTATAGAGAGAGTAAGGAGGATCTACATATGTTGTGTTTAAACACATTGCATGCATGTTCATGCTTTGACCAAATATTTTCTATTTCAGTTGGATTACATCAAGGATCATAGCCCATATCTTTTTTTCTTTATCCATGGTGAAATATAGAGTGAATAAGAAGGATTTACATATGATACTTATTGAATTAGAAAAAAAATATGATAAAGTTCAAAGAGAAGTGCTATGGAGAGTTAATTTTAGAAAAGAAAACATGTTATTAGTAGAATTCAAGTTGGTTGGTTAAAGTGGAGGAATACATCAAACCTGTTGTGTGATAGAAAAGGACCATTTAAACCTGTAGGTAAAATTCTATAAATGATGGTGAGACCTGCAATGATTTATGTCACATAATGTTGGCCATTAAAAGAGAAGTCAAAACTTAAGTTGAGTATTGTAGAGATGAGGATGCTCAAGTGCCTGAGTGTCTTTACTCTTAGAGACAATGCTAAATGGAGACAATGCTTCAGGCCTATTGTGTGATATATAGTGGAGGAATGTTTTAGGCCTATTGTGTGATTGATATAAAAATATTGTAGAGATTAGGATGCTCATGTACGTGAATGAGTGTCTTTACTCTTAGAGACAATGCTAAATGATCATAATTTTCTACAAGCACCCTATCTTTTTACATCTCTATATAATCAGTTAACAATGTAAGGTAAATTAAATTTATTTTTGCTACTGCACTGCATTTTATTTTACTTCCCTGCATTTTACTTCACTGCATTTATTTTATTGTTACTACTGCGTTATTTTTTCCTAATTTTTTGTTATAACTCATGTTTTTAATATTTCTTTTTTATTTATGTGCAGATGGCTTCAAGTGAAGAGCCTAGTAGAGGATTGAAAAAAAACATTTTTAACAGACGTACTAAGAAAGTTATAGTTGGACAAGCTAGGATAGTACGTACTGAGGGGACCACCACGTCTCAGCCTGCTACACAGCCTCAGCCTGCTACATAGCCTCAGCCTGCTACACAGCCTCAGCCTGTTACACAGCCTCAGCCGGCTACACAGCCTTCACCCACTCTTGGAGCCAGTAGCCCTCAATTTTACTCAGCAGACCCCCGATTTCCTTCACCAGATCCCGGGTAGAGTATTCCTTTCTACCCATACTACACACCCCCACCATATGGTGGTGCCCCTCCTACTTATCCATTTCCACCATATGCTCCACCATACTATCTCCCACCACCTCATCAGCCTACAGCAGCCGGACCTTCGACAGCAGTTGTAGCAGAGCAGGAGACAGATGGTAGAATATTGATAGCACCTGAGGTGACACGTACGCACATTCTCTTTTATTTAAGCGAACGAACATTTCTATTTTATATTTTATATTTGTTTTATATAACTTTATTTTTGTAGGTTCTACCCATTAAAACAACCGACACATAAAATAAGGGACATCATATGAAGTAGGTTTGACGCTCCTTATGTTTCTTGGAAGAATGTCCCGAAAGAAGTCCAGGAGATGTGGTTTACAGAGTTTGAGGTATTTTTTGGTTTTATTTTTTATGTAAAATGATTTATTCTTTTTTACTTAATCTAAAAATCTTATATATTATATATCATATGTATTTGAATGCAGAAAGAATTTTGTTGGCTGCCGCAACACAATGACAAGATTAGAAAGAATTTTGAGAAGTGTAGGTCTACTCGGATGCGTGACATGTTCACAGATATTAGAAAGCATGGGAAGCGACAATTGTGGATTGGAGAGGATATATGGGCTGAGTTGAATGCAGCTTGGGGCAGCGAAGAGTACACTAGGAGGAGGGATCAAAATCGACAGAACAGAGCTTCTGATGTTGGGGGCTTGGGTAGTTCACTTCATACAGGAGGCTCCGTTCCACATACTGAGCACAGACTTCATTTGGTAATGAATTTTAAATATTTTTTAAAATTGTTTTTAATTTGTATTAATAAAATTCTCTTAATTCTAATAGAAAGAGACGCTTGATAGAGAACCAACTCCTGTGGAATTGCATAGTCGCACTCATAAGCGATAGGAGGATCAACAATGGATTGATGAGAGAGCTAGGAAAGCCCAAGTAAGTATATATTTATATGTGTTTAATAATTTTTATTTTTAATTTAATTATATATATTTATACTCTACTTTCACAGGAGGAATATACACGGCTTCGAGAGATTCATGTCGCAGCAGGTGAGGGCTCTTCTGGCGGCTCTGTGGGGGCGGATTCAGAGTAGTTTAGTTTATTTTATGAACTTGTTTATTTTCTTTGAATCTGTAATATTGAACAATATCTGATGTTTTTAGTTGATTGTTACTATTGAACAGTTTCTTTTAATGAGTATTTATGTTTTTGTGCATCTTTGAATTGTTATAAACTGTTCTGGAAATATTATAAACTGTTGTGGATAGATATTTGTATAGATTTGCAGGTGTGGAAATCTGATTGTTGGCTGGGAAGGCAAATTTTTTTGTCAATGCTACAGGTTTCCGGCAGATTTTGCGCCGGTAATTCGCCGGAAACGATGATACAACAAACCGTATCGATCTAACCAGCGTCTCTTAGTACGCCGGAAATTACCATCATACTTTCCGGTGTCGTATCCGCCGGTCATTCTCGGTGCATATTTTGCGACGTAACCATCCCGCAGGTTATTTACGGCATATCAACTACGTTTTATCCGCCGCTAATTGCCAACGCAATCATACGATGGAAATTACCGGCGCATATGTCGCCGGATTTAGCGGTCAAAATGTCGACGGCTGCCATCAGTTTTTGCACTGGCAATGCGTCGGAAATAGCGCAGGAAAGATTTCTGGCGCAACTTATGCGCCGAAAGACTTTTACCGACGCGATCCAAACTGGCGCAGAGAATTCCGCCGAAACCTGCGCCGTAAACCTATAATTCCGACGGAAATCTTGTATTAGCGGCGGATATTATCCGTCGGTAATTATGTGTTTTCCTGTAGTGAAGGTTCATAATGGGACGAAAATCTCTGTATGAGATCGTACAAGATGAATTTATTTTTTGTCCCTGGACGAAGCTCTCTGTATGAGATCATATAGGATGAATTTAATTTTCGTCCCTGGACAAAGCTCTGTATTAGATCGTACAGGACAAAATTAATTTTCATCCCTGGATGAAACGCTCTGTATAAAATCGTCCCTGGACAAAACCTGTTCGTCTCAGGACAAACTGAACCGACTTACGTCAGTTGGTTACATCCTGTAGAATTTTGGTAACCGACCTATGTAATAACCATTTCGTACTGGATGAACATAGTTCGTATGGGATGATGAGCGTGTACGAACATAGTTCGTACCAATATACATTAGGATCATTTTTGACACTTTAAGTAAAATTGTCCAGATGATCCACGATCATACGGGACGATCCACTGCGTACAAAATTGAAAATTTGCAGTTTTTTGAGCAGTGTTTCTTGTCTTTTGTATATATACTTCAAATTATACTGCCACCAAATCTTTTTGCCAATTGATCTTCCTGCCTATTGAAAGAAAAGTCAAGGAGAGAGTGTGAGAGAGCATTCAAAGGAGGATTTCTACCACTGGAGCGTGAGGGCTTCACTTGGTGTTCAAAGGTAAGAATCTCTTCTTCTGATTTAGGATTACTTCACTTTTCTTTCTTGCTTCTAGATATTTTGTGATAAGATCTGTCAAGGAGATCGGGTTCTTTGCCCACACTAGGAGAGTGTAAAAAGATGAAGGGTTCTCTGCCCATACTAGGAGAGTGTGAAAAGACGAAGGGTTATCTGCCCACACTAGGAGAGTGTGAAAGGACGAAGGGTTCTCTGCCCTCACTAGGAGAGTGTAAAAAAACGACGGTTTTCTGCCAACACTAGGGAAAGTGTAAAAGGACGACGATTCTCTGCCAACACTAGGGAAAGTGTAAAAGGATGACGGTTCTCTACCAACACTAGGGAAAGTGTAAAAGGACGACGGTTCTCTACCCACACTAGGAGAGTGTGAAAAGACGAAGGGTTCTCTGCCCACACTAGGAGAGTGTGAAAGGATGAAGGGTTCTCTGCCCTAACTAGGAGAGTGTAAAAAGATGACGGTTCTCTGACAACACTAGGAAAAGTGTAAAAGGACGACAGTTCTCTGCCAACACTAGGGAAAGTGTAAAAGGATGACGGTTCTCTGCCGCACCGGGTAGTAGTGAAAAGGTGGTTGTAAAGGCTTCTCCACCTTGTTATGGGTGCAAAAGGAGAGACACTATTGGTATTAGTGAAATACGTAGAGGGTGCCTCTGGGAAGTGGATGTAGGTCTAGTTTAGACCGAAGCACTATAAATCGTGTGTCATTTTATTTTACTGTTTTTTATTTTCTGCATTTAATTTAGTATTTTAAAATTGTGGTTGAAAAACTTTTTATAAAAATTCATTAAATTTTAATTTCGATTAAACTTATCAAAAGAGGGAAAAATTTTAAATACCAATTCA